CTGGAAAAGCCTACTACCCCTACGGCGATTAGGAAGAAGTCAATAAAACTATAAAACGAAAGTTTCGAAGTTGTGCAGTTATAACTGATGTGATTATGAACAATAAATTGTGTTCGAAACATGATCCAGTAAATAATACTGTTTCACTATGTGATATACCTAATAAACAAAATAATATGGAATTACGTACTACGACATACATATATCAACAGTCTCTGTATTTATGAAATCATGAACTGTTCTACATTGTATGTTTTCTCATCGGTTAAGCTGAAATTGTCATAAAAACTCTACTGAACGAACACTATTCCTGATGTGACATCACAAAAAACTTAAATTTGCAATCAAAAAGAAATTAAATGGTCAAATAGTAAAGGGTGCATGTTCAATGACTGGTTAATAACCTGCTTGTAACGACACCTGATCACTGCGATCTAGATCTTCTGTGTTATTGTAAATATATACTTCTGAATGCTCTGAAGGCAGGAATCTACTACTTCGGACAGACATCTATTCGACTGGAACATGTTTAAATCAATCAAGACAACGAGATATGTGAAATTATCAGGCTGTCTAAGTCTTGTAATTTCTTTTTTAATTGTCGTAGAAACCTTTTATGTCCCGTCGTCATTGCGTAACAAGATTTGCCCACAAAAATGTTAATTTATTATTATTAGTTAGATGTATAAACCGAACTAATGAGGTTCGTATTGAATGTTGAATCGAATTTAAGTGGATTCACCTTTAAACAGCTACTAAAATGTCATTTATAGACCTTTTTTCTTATTTATAGATGTTACCTGTTTTCCTATATAAATTTCGTTATTACATGTATATTATTTTAAGAAATATAAAAAAAATGAATTGATCAACGAACAGTTGTTTAGTCTCAATATAAATGTAAACCACACTGTGTGTTGCTTAACTCTGATTATTGTTCAAAATGATACCATTTAAACGTAAAATAATAGAATACTCTTAGGTGACGCCATTTCTAATCATTAAGGAATATTATTCCCTTCGTGATCACAGATTCGTCTTTCTTATAAGTTACAGTATACATGAAATCCAGGTCCATGGTATCCTACCAGTCGCAGCACAATTATCTGATAAGACCTGAATAAAACTCTACTTCTTTCCACTACTCCACTTCTGAATAGGAAACCTACAACAACAGATCAGTACACTCATTTTTTGAGTTTGGTACCTTTGAAATATAAACGTAACCTGGTAAAGTGTCTGGTTCATAGAGCCAGGTTAATCTGTTCAGACGACTGCCTCAATGAGGAGCTTAAGATTATTGAAGAATTACATAGAAAAAATGGTTATCCAGATAAATTTATTGAGAAAAATATGAATTCAGCACCAAGGAGAGTCAGTATGGCTACAGTTCCGAAAAAAACATTGTTCATAAAATTGCAGTTCCTCAGCGACAACATCAGCGAAATAAAAACACAGCGCCTGAAGAATGCAGTTAAAAGAGCTTATTATGCAGCAGAGGTACGTTGTCTCTTCACAACCACCCATATTCTATGTTCGAGAAATAAGGATAAACTACCTAAATTTGCCTCCTCTATGTGCATCTACCAGTTCGACTGCAGCTGCGGAGCCAGCTACATTGGGCGTACAATTAGGCAGGTTCATCGTCGTATTTCCGAATATCATCCAACAGGGTAAAGCAAGAGACAAACAAGATCTATTCGTAGCTGTATTTTAGCACACTTTGTAGATACTAAGCATAAGGTTGATGTTAATACTGCATTTAAAATTATTTATCGCATTCCTACTAATCTCAATTTTGCTCTACGAGTTCGTCTTCTTCAGACAGCTGAAGCAATCGGAATCCACCTGAAGAAGCTTAACTTGCGTGTTCAGAAGGAATTTGTACAGCCACTTTCCTTATCTTGGCCATGGTTACATGACTGTATAAACCAGAATACTTCGCCCCCCTCCCCTAAACCTTTAATAACTATAAAAATTATAATTGTCCCAATTATTTTATTTTTATTTATTTTGACTACTTCATCTTTAATTACGTGTTATCCTTCTAAAATTAATTTATTCTAACAATTTCTACTTTTTAAATATGTATTATCTTTCTTCGTTAATTATCAACCCATTGACATTTTGACACTGTTTAATTATTGTTAACAAGCATATCAGTGCCACTTGTTTGGTAAACAGTTATGTATTGTAATAAAAATGCGACATATATATTAGAGTAGAGCCAGAGATGAGGATCTAATTGAAAAGTAAATATTTCTTCGCTCAGTCTTTCTGTTTTCTAAATGTTTTAATGGGGATTTTTTCTACATAATTTTTCCATTGTGTTTTGAGTGGAACATATACGGCTTCGACGACACATCTCTATTTTATCCTGTTCTTCATAGTCCTTTTCAGATGCACTCACGATGGCCGATTTGTTTTCATTTCGTCCTCACACAACCCACTCAGTGCCATTCTCGGACGCCCAACTCTTCGTTTTCCAACCCGGTTTCACTCGAGCACCTGACGTGTGATGTCACCCAACTGTCTCACAGTATGTATTCGATTCATCTTCACTTTCTTCAGCATATGTGTGGGATGACCAATTCTCGGTGGGTTCATTCCCTGACTGAGCACTGATTTTCACATACACTGTAACTGTTAACAAGTTGATAGGAATTAAACTACCTTGTTATTTGTCTTGTCCCATAATTTCACAGCTTCACGGCAAAGCACTCTAATTTTGAGTAGAGCATTTCACTTATGAATGAAATAATTCACAAATAACAAGTCGTGGTGAGATTGTTTTTATAAAAATTACTTTGTTAATTTATAGGAATATTCACCATGAAAGTTAAAAAAAACACTCCAAATATTTTCTGTTCTGTGTTGGAACTTTTAAGTGTTTTGTATACAGTGTTTGATATAAATATTTGAGAAGTTTGTGTATACCAAGTTGGCGAAAGTAACGTTTCCTTTTAAAAGAAAATCAATGTGAATTATTTACAGAAGATAATCGAAATTTTGCTTTCTTCACTGAATATTCTATCGAATAGTTTAATGGCTAACCTAAACAGTAGCGACCACCACATGAGAATGTACCAGTGATGTTGAATGCCTACCATTTGTTGGTTTATAGAACCCGTCGTTATTGCAGTGCCACTACTAATGCTCTGCATGAATTGGAGTGCAAATTTCATTCCGATCTCGTTTTGAAATACTGTTTGGATAATGAGTTGATAGTACGTTAGAGTTAGGATTTCGATTACAGTGTTTTCATTATTAGTAATATTATCATTATGATTATTATTATCTGCATTTTTCCCTTAAATCAATAAATGAGAGGAGAGGTAGTCGTTTTCCACATAGACGAAACCGTTTTGTTATGTAAGAAACTTTATAACATAACCCTCACTGTGACTGGGAAGTTTTTTTGAGTCACGTCAGGGTAATATATCGTCTTTAGTGTATTTCATTACTATAATGTGCATTTTCGTCGTAAATAAACAGCTTTTTATTGTAAAACTCATGACTTGTACTGATTGGCCAACTCAAGGTCATTGTTGCTTTCGCACTTCGTGGTCGCTATTCTTTGTGTGCCAATTTGAGTATCGGTTGGAGGATTTCATCATGAGCAGACATCATTCAGGGAACCATTGGAAAACCTGCAGGGAGTACTCAACTGCTGTTTCCGCCTATTTTGGGACCCTTCATCAGTACGCACCCACCGTCAAGGGTCGAACCCAGGACCTTCTGGATCAAAGGCTAGCGAGCTCGTAGACGATTAAGCCACTGAGACCCGATCCAATGGCCAGTCCATGAATTCTAACTTCTTCCAATTCATGACATCGGGTGACCACTTCGCAATGTCCTCTTCGATGGGTTACTGCCTTACCTCCAACCTGCCGTACCCTACTGGTCATGGCTTCCCACTAGATTTCTAGGTTAACTGCCTGAGTAGGGTCAGTTGCTAGTGAGCATCAGATCAATTTTCAAATATTGGTTTTGTAGGGATTTTGTTGGTTTGATTGGTTAGAGGATTACATCATGAGTTGACATCATTTCATTTAATACTACTTCTATGCCAGGAATGACATCCTCAGGTTTTAATCTACTAACACGTACAGTGAGGTTTAATCCTTTTTCAAGTATTCTGGAGCACGTGGTGTATGAATTAGAACAGAAAAGAAAGCAGAAATCAAAGATTAGTAATTAGTATTTCTTTTCAATTTATTCAAATTTGTATTCGTTCACGGAAAGATCTCCTTATGCTTATTCAACAGATCGTTTATGATTCATTCAGCCATGCTAAAATTAGTTTTTTTTTAGATGTTTACTAGTCATTAATTAAAACGGTTACTCTAAGGTAACTTCTGATTCATTTTAAAACCCAAAGATAGTAGTGATTTAAAAGTAGTACTAGTATTAATAATGCCTAAAAAAGTGGCCATCATTTACGATATCTTATCCGAAATGACAAACAGAAGCCAGGTGCAGTTTATCTTACCTTATTTATCGTAATATTTACTTATGTAAGCGGAGGCGAGATCATGTTAATAAGCAAAGGAGAATGCCCAAAGTCCCAGCTATTCTGATTAGTCCTCTTTTTTGCCTGTAAATATGTAAATATGATTTAATTTGTAAACGTGAACCTGAATAATAATAATAGTTTACACTTATCAAGCGACTGACAACCTGCAGTAATCCACCATCCTAATTTCCCTGTGCATCAGACTAAACGCATCAAAATGTTGCTCCTAATAATAATCTGATTGGATGGGAAAGTTTTTTATACTGTCATTTAATTGGCTGGTTGCATAAGATATTATTTTCCTATGAATAAGTTATTATTTGTCATTATTTGTTGGTTGCATAATAGTTAGCGTTTAAGAAATAATAATAATAGCAGTAATAGCAATTCTAATACACAGGTCATTTACCTGGGGACTTGTATGATACTTCCACATGTCTGTTTTTAATTAATGACCGCCAAAACATCCGTACAATCCAAATACATGTACAACAGACCCCATTTGAATACAGATTTTCAACATTATCATTCAAATTCATTAACCAGCCAAGTAACTTCAAATCAGATAGTTAAAGCGCCCAACTATCGGACCTATTCCACTGTGAAAAATCCGTATAATTATAATAACACTAAATTAGAATTACCAGAAGACATGTCATATGTGAATTCTATTGTATTGCCTTCTCATCAGCATAATCATTTCAGTCAACAGGTTTTCAAGTCGAATCTACCGCCTATAATTACAAGTAAAAGTATAAGTATGTTCAATAATGCGCCTATCAGCACTGCAATGAACGATAGTACTACTGCAGTGAGGGATAATATTAAAGTTAGTACGAATAACAAAGATAATGATGACAGTGTTGAGAATGATTCTAAAAAACAAGAAACAGTTTTATGCCTAAAACGTCTTTTCACCTTTTTATTATCACATGTTGGATTAGCTGTACTAGTTGTCGTATATACGGTGATTGGTGGTTCAATGTTCTATGCTGTTGAACGTGATCATGAATCACAAGTTAAAATGAAAATGTTTGAAACTCGTAAAAAAATAGTTGAAGAAATGATGCTTGAATGGAGAAATACACAGCTGGAATTATTGGATACATTAATTAATCATGTAAATATAATTCATCAGTTTGAACAAACAAATTTTGGCAGAAAATTTAAAAATCAAACAAATTTATATGATTCTATTGAACGTTTAGCCATAATAAATAGTGAATTTTATAAAGAGAACAATAAACGATTATTGTCTAGTGATTTAAAGGATGAACAGAAACAACATTTAGCTGGTTTATCATGGTATTTATCAAGTTTAGGTTGGTCGAAAAGAATTCTACCCCAATGGTGGTTTCATCGAAATTATACACAGTTTACGCCTTTACAAAATCTTAATAATACAGCTACTGCTGATATTATAAACGAATTACACGGTGTAATGACAAACAACTCGACGAATCAACCGTTTCAGGGTACAGATGTCAAACCAACTGACAGTGTTACTAATCGTAACGATTATGCACTACATAACTCATATATGTTGAAGACACAGGTATTAACAACAACAACGCCGCCGCCGACGACGACGACAACTGCCACCAGAGTAACCTCTCCTGACAGTGATGAAATAAACACAAAATTTGAAAACAATACTAAAACAAATCATAGCTTACATCTAAATTATTTTTCAACAGAGTTAATTAACTCTTTACCAAAACATTTGATACTAGTTGCAAAATTAGATGATATTCTGCCTACAATTATCAATCAAAGTCGTATTCTAGAAAATGCTTTACAGAAAAAGCTAACAGAATATGTTGAACAGATTGTTATTGCTATAAAAGATGAAGGATGGAATGGATCAGAGCATACAGATGATTTCAACTGGACATTTGAAGGTAGTATATTATTTGCTGTTACTATTATCACTACTATAGGTAAGTTGAAAGAGATTACGATGTGCATATGTATATAAATTCTCAGATTTGTCCTGTCACTGACAATAGCTGTTAATGATTATTTGTAAGTAATATAAACAGGCATGTTAGTAATATATATACAGGGGTTGGTGTGTGCATAGCATTTAGCTGATTTTTTAAATTTTAATGTCAATTCACTGTTTCTTAGTGATTAGTTTCAGCCATCATTAATAACTGGCGGGGTCAGCAAATATACGTCTCCAGACAGTTATTTGACACTGGAGACGTTGCAGATCTGTAACACTGCATAGCAAGCTGAGAGAAGTTGGCAATTTTAAGACTTTCATAACTTAGCATTCATACTAAAAGGGTAGGCAAAGTGTTTACTCTGAGGCTGAATCGTATAAGGCTTAACATATAAACTGGCTGTGAGCATGCACTATTGACAAATATCTAGCACCTTTCGATTTACAGAGAAAGCTATGATGAAATACAAAGGTATATTCAACTTTAAAGTTAAAAAAGCACATTAGATTTATACTACTCATGTTTAGGCAATTAACATAAGTTATTTGGTGGATGGATGTATATTTCATCCTACCAGAGACTCGTCATCTGGATACACCTGTAATCCTCAGTGAATTTCACTGAGACTCAAAGTTAGCTACCACCGTTTCAAACGTTTCAACTTAGGTTGTCCATTTAATTCGGGAAGAGTAATAAATTTTCACGTAGATGGTATAAGATCGTGATGAAATATATAATACTGAAACAAGAGGGTACAGATGATGTATACTGTTGCCAAAAATTTAATGCAATTCTGGAAAATTTTTTATTTTATATGATTACACTGCTGAGGTTACGTTTATGTAATTAAAATTATCCTGTGACAAATTGTTTCATACAATAGAGTATCAGAATGAAATTGGCACTAAACAGTCATCTTCCAGGCGATGGACGTTTCTCCTTTGACTTATTTTTTACTTTTTTAAAAATGTACTTGACTCCTTTGCGTTCCATGTGGAACATTAGACTTCAAGCTAGAGTTTTTTGTAGTCCCAGCAGCAGCGTTGTATTTTTACGGAATGAGGCTGCTAGCCTTATGTCCAACCTTTGATCTTTACCCGGCTTAGTACCGACTAAGTAAGGTAAAGCAGTGCATCAGCTGGGGATGGAACTCCGGCCCACTTTCTACATCCCCCAGTGCCCTACCACTGAACCGCCGGTGCTCACACGGACGAGAAGCGACTTATCAGACGCATATTTCTGAACTGCAGTAAATATCTTCGTATTCTACTTTCTGCCATGTTTCTCCTCAGAGTCATCCTCTTGGTCGTCTAGCCCTTATTAGGTTGATAACCAATTTTCTTCATTTCATTTTGTTCTAAGCATCAACAATCATTCATCTTTTCATGACATTTACTGAAGATATCATAGTGCATACACTACTAAAGTGTTCGTATTTGTAGCACATGCATGGTCAATAGCTTAGCCTAGTTATGATTTTCTAAATGTCTTCATGTAATCAGTATAGAATTTAATGAAAATTAATGCAGAATTCATTGTTCGGTTTCTTCCAAATCACACCCAGGAAGAATTCGACAAGAAAGTATAAAAGTGACCGGCTGATAGGAGGATGGATTGAGATTATATTGAATTACGGAACGACTTTACTCCATCATAGTAGGAAATTCTCAGCCCAAGTGAATGCACTATACTAGTCAATTGATTCAACTGAAGGCATCAACTGATGTCAGAAAATGGTCATTATATACGAAACACATCTGTTGTATCCTTCCAATTGCACAAAATAATTATGATAATTAGAATTTAATTGGTGGATGGTGGAATCCAGGGCAACGCGCATTTAGTCCTATTTGGGACTCCTCATCTGGACGTGCCTGCATTCCCCAGTGAGTGGGGGTGTTCCCACCGAGGCTCGATCCCAGTGCCCATAGTTTCAAACGCCGAAGCGTTATCCACTAGACCACTTGGGCCACGAGTGCCACGCTTGTGCAACGGGTCATATTAATTATTTAATTGAACTATACTCACTGGGTTCGAGCCTCAGTGGGAACATCACCACTCACTGGGGAATGCAGGTGCATCTAGCTGTGACCAGTCCCAAACGGATGAAATGTGCATTCTGGATTTCCTTGCTAGTCACCATCCACCAATCAAATTCTAATTACATACCCAGACATCGTCGAAGCATCTGCACAAGAAGCTGACATGTCAACCTGAGACCGAGTACTTCGGTCCAATCAATCGACGGGAAAATCTAAAATTCATTTAAAAAATTGTGATAATTGACTGTACTTTAATTAACTGATCTGTTTCCTAAAATTCCATATCTGTATTGTATTGCATAATATCTGTATTCCACACTGCATTTTTCCTCTTCTACTTTTGTATTTTCTTAGAGTTTTCCTTCTAGTATTTTTATCTAATTAATTTATCAAAGACATAAGAATGTCTTCCAGGGTTGAACTAAATGTATATTGGGAAAAGGAAAAGATCCCTGACCTTTAATCGTTCGTCTTTTAAAATAACAATTTACCTACAGCATTCACTACTGCAACAGCAGAAAAATGGCTGACAATATTCCCTTCACTATATTTAGCATTATATTTCATGTTTAAAACAAACCGTCAAATGCAAAAGTCCTACTGACGCCAGCGTCAGATAAATATTAGTTTCATTTAGTTTTAGAATGATTAACATGATGTTGTACTTCAGTGATTCAGTGATGGAATGCTGATCAACCCCGCTGCACATGATCCGAGGTTTGACCCCCCGGACTGATGCACTCCTCAACCTCACTTAGCCAGCAAGCAGTATGCCCAGTAAAGATAGAAGGTTGGGTATGAGGCTAGCAACACTACTCAGTAAAAATAATTAAACACCACTCCTACCGAGACTGCAGAGCTCAAGCTTGGAGCCCTATGTTTCACTAGGAACGCAAAGAGATAAAATTTTAAAAAATATACCCCTCGACCTACCCGCTTACTCTCGTTATATGCATTAAACAGTGGAATGTTCAGATATGTTGTTCACTTAATTATGAAACATAATAACAAACGAATGTTATTATGCATTTTTCTAGATTTTCATATACTTCAAAACTCGTTGTACTGATCATGAAACTTAATAATATGGAATTTTTTAATAGTGTACTATATTAAATTAGCTCTTTTTTCTTTCTACAATTAAGTTACTGGTCATCCTACAGTTTTTACGAGTTGATCACGGATTGATATCAGTTAGAGAACCATTGAAAACCAGGGAGTACTGGACAGCTGTTTTGTCATCCTAGTTTGGGAATCATTGGCAGTACGCACCCACCGTCAGGGTAAGAACCCAGGACCTTCCGGTTACAAGGCAAGCTCATATACCATTCAGCCACTGGGAGCTGATTCAATGGCCCATCGTACAGTTGTAAAATGTTTTCATGTCAATATCTTTTCATCTGTTAGATGGAAAGGAAGACAGACTAACTAAGGTAAAACATCCGACAGTCTTATACGATTTCAACAAATCGTAAATTGGAGAAGCACGTGAAAAAGAATAAATAACAAATCGATTGTTCTCAATGTTTACGTACACCATTATAAAAGGATCTTCCATCACAAGTATTTTAGTACTTAAGAGATTCATAAATTAGCAGATTATCAACTAAACCGGACTAAGAAAAATATGTACAAAATATCATCTGTGAAACAAAATGATGAATTCATTTAATTAAATTAAAGTTGAATTCTTGTATGAGAACAGTAAATTTATAAAAAATGTGACTTGTACATTCAGACATCATCTGAGTGGTATTTCATCTGAGAATACAGAATATACAAGGTTGCACTGACTGTAAAATTCACGAAAGATAAAATATTTGAACTGCAGTTGAGTAGTGTTAGTTCATTTACTTCTCATATACATAAAAATCATAAATAGACGGGAATAGCATATGTTACAGTTGAAAAAAGAGGTTTAGGTGAAGTCTTTTCAGAGTCTCATTGTTAACCTGTGCTCTCACCTATATATAGTTTATTCCAAAGTATTTCCCCATAAACCAAAGACAATACCTGGACTAGTTCGTGGATCCATCTAGTGGTCAGAATCAACAGATGTTCTAAGACAGAGTTGTGAGAAGATATTCTTTGTTCCCAACAAAGCCAAGATGGCATATGTTCAAATATACGTTTAGACGGTAAACGCTGCTTACGACCAACATATCGTACTCAAAAGGAGAACGTGGACTGACATATACACACATACTGAAGAGAGAAGTAGTGGTAACTTGCCTTTGACGCATAATCGAATCATAGGTTGTATGGGAGAAATAAGTGGTACTTTAACAGCGTAAAAAACTATCTTCTATTCCTTAAAAATACCCTTGGATACAGACTTTTTTGGGCTTCCAGTATTTCAGTTGTTCTGTATGATTGCTATCTTTTTTTATTCCCCGATTTCGACTTGGAACATTTAAGGTTTCAGTATCGGCCGCGCTACTTTTATGGAGTGAAGTTGTTAGTCTCAAGACTAACGTTCGTTTTTTTCTGAGCTTACTACCAGCCAATTGATAATGGATAATATTTTATTTTGATAAATCACAAAGTGTTGTACAGTTATATTAACTGATGACGTTTCGATCACAAACTATTGCTCATAATCATATCCATGGATATGATTATATGGATATGATTATGAGGAATAGTTTGTGCTCGAAACGTCATCAGTTAATATAACTGTACAACACTGTGTGATTTATCAAAATAAAATGTTATCCATTATGGAGTTATACTCTACCACAGTGCTCAAGTTTTATACTTATACCAGCCAATTGATTTTTACGAATTAGCCTGTCAGAAACCGTACCAGGAACTTCCAAGTAGCTGAAAAGCCTTCTACCACTGAACCACTGACTCACTCACACATCCCAGTATTCAATAGTTTACGAGCTTTATGTGATAAGCAGAATATAATATAACTGTCTGAATAAATACCATTACCCCTATCGCCAAAATCGTACATTTTAAACAAATAGACATCAGTTTCG